CGACCCCAGAGGACGCTCACGACGACTTGTTTGGGCCCCCTCTCCTTCAGCTGCGCTCACAGGAAGGGGTAAGATACCACCCCCCCAAAAACCCGATGCTCTTCTCTGCGGAGCAATTCCGCGCGGGGGAAATTGAGCCGGGGAGGACTCCCCAAGATACACAACCCATAACCGCCCTCCTCTTCATTGCAGGCCGTCCCCACTTTCTTCCCCCCCCCGAGAATCGGGGTTCCGCTCCAACGAGCTGGGGAGGCCCTTGGAATGGGGGGAGATCAGAAGCGCTTCGGACAAAGCAAGGGCTGGCCGGTAATGGGGCGGGAGAGGGCGCGAAGGTGCTCCCCCACTTTAAAGAGGGGAGTTATGGGGATCCAAAGCTCTTGGGAGAAATGCTGGTGAAGAGAAGGGATGCCTAATTGAGGGAACGATATGCATGTGTCTGATTTAAATATATCCTTGTTTACCTGGTGGGATTTCTCTCTTTACCTTTCTGTAATGCTCCCCCCCCCTTTCATTATTAGGGATGGGTTTTAAGAGAAAGGCAGGATGTCCAATAAGAAGATGTGAGGCTATGGTGAATTAGGTGACGGGTAGACATTTAAAGAGCTCTAAATCATTGGCACAAGAATCTCACAAGTAGAAGGGGGAGCAAATTATGAGATGTGTGTGTGTACACACACACACACAAATAAATAAATATGGGTAAATTAATGAAAAACACAAGGTCCGAATGATACAGGACTGTTGTGCGTTATCCATTAGAACATGTCAAGGTACAAATACTTGTATCTTGATCTCTAATTTTATTTACCAAATAAGATGTATTTTGGAATTTCTTTATAGGTCATGCTTAGCGGGGAATGAGTATGGGGAAACAGTTTGAGGTATAACCTGGGGATACAGGAGTTTGGTAAGGGGTAGGGAGTTTGGGATCTATTGGGTTGCTAGTTTCTGCAAAAAGTGGGAAGCTGCTAAGAATAATTTGATTTGGATTTTGGCTGCAGTTATTTGATTTGAAGCCAGTGTGATGGCACAGTACTGGCTTCTGAAAACATTGGCTCAGTGGGTAACTTTGATCATTCTCTCTCAGCTCTAGAACCTTACTAAGTTATTATAGGGAAGATATAACAGGAGGGAATGCTTTATATATCAGTTTGGGCTTCTGGGGGTGAGATATCATGCAATAAACACAAATAATGTGGGAGCTTATAAGAAGGATGAACTGAAAGTAGGTCCCTCTGCATGAAGGAAAAGCAGAAAAGTAGGAATGGAGGATATCTGAGGTGGTGTGGAATAAACACCCCCTCCCCAGTATCTGAAAGCTGAAATCATGTATGGTTTTGATCTCCTTATATTCCTTGTACGTAGGCTTCATTGCACTTCTTTGGTGAAGTTGTGAGGGGAAGGAGAGAGATGGGAGGATTTACATCCAAGATTAAGAGCCTGGTGCCTTGTGCCCCAGTGTCAGTGTCTTCCTTCAAATTACTAAAAGATCTCTTCATTTGTTTTTGTACATGTTATATTTGGATCATGGGAGTCTTACATGCATCTGTAGTCTGCTGTTTCTTAGGATAGGAGTATAAGTAGTTTATAGTGTCTGGTAGGTCTTTCTTTGTTTTGCCCTCTTTAACAAAGGTGGAGGCTTGCTCTGAGGGAAGAAAGAGATTGTTGGTTAGCCTCTCTCCTGACACTGTATGATTGCTGGCCCAGGGAATCATGAGGGCGTAAAAATGTTGTTCACCCGCCTGTGCCCGTCTATTATGGCCATTAACTTTAAAAATAGGCTTGCTTCTTTGAGCTAGGGTGAAAATTTTGCTTGCAAACAAATTATAGATTGAATCCAAGCATTATGACATCAATGTGACATTTTGATTACTCTAAACCGTGGTGATGAGTTCCAAGTGGCTTCTCTCATCTAAACAATTTGGCTGACTGATCCTAGTGCTTCTCTGGGGTACTTCCAAGATATAATGTTCCATATGTTTGGGGTATTGCTTTTTTCCCTTTGTCTCCAGTTTTTATTGCAGGAGGCTGGCCTTAGATTAAATTAAACTTGAGTTGGGTGACAGAGCTGATGACAAACATTCGTCCCAGCAGCAAGGAGACCACACTGATCCAGCCTTATCTGAGTCCATACCAGATTAATAGTTCAATTGAGGAATTTACTTTGCATCAAATGAAAAAAAAAGTATAAAATAATATCTGGGCCAAATATGTATCCTTTCTATGATGTGCCTTTCTCTGTTCCTTCTTTTGGTTTGCTGAAAGGCCATGGAAAGGGAGCAGCAGTACGAAAAATGGCTGGATTTGTGAATTCAAGATGTTTGGTATTAGCCTAGATAGAATTTAAAAAAAAAAACACCTTCCAGGGTGTCATTATTAGATCTTTTCTTGCATGCTTAGTAGAAATGGTTGCTTAATCATCTGTCTCCATTTGTTTAACGAATTTAAATTTCAGATGTCAACAGCATGAATTCAATATAGACTAATTTTTGGTGTCCTTTAATGCTACATGAGTTTTAAATTGGCTGCGTAGACATAACTTGGAGGGATAAATGGGGCACATTGACACCTCTATTATCTCTATTAATAGAAATCTTATTGCTATTTAATGCTACATCTGTACTAATATAATTTAAATTGTGCAGAGAGAATTTTTAAAATTATTGCCTCTTGGAATTGATTAGCTATAAAAGTATCTCATCTGCTTTTTCTTCTGTATTGGCTACTTCAATCCCAAATATGAAAGACTTCAAGTTCTAAAATCCATCTATCAGCATCTTGGACAATGATGCTCCTTAATTGTGTATTTACACTGTTCTTCCTTGAAGAGTTGCAATAAGATCAAGACACACAGTACTCTTGGGGCTAACTTGAGATGCAATGGGAAACAATGGTTTGTTCCTACAAAGGAGCTGCAAAGCCTTAGGCTCTCATGCATCTTTTCAAACCCAAGAAGAGGTGAATGAAAGCTGCTGCTTTTGATTTTACAAAGTCCAGTTTCATATAATTTCTGAACTTTGGAAGGGCGGTATCATTATAAAATATAATTAGAACTAAAACCTCTGTTCCTTCTGTATGTTAGATTATAGTTCTCCAAGTTCAGTTAATGCAGGGAACTGAAGAAGCTTTCAGCCTCATGAATACAATAAAAAGGAGGTGGTGCATATGAATGTGAGGTTTATGCTGATAATGGGATATGGTGGCTTTTCATTAACTTTTGAGCTGATGATTGAATGTACAAAGTAGAGTAGTTTTGTATTCACATAATAGCCAGATTAATTTTCATTTTATAGATGGGAAAGCTATTGGTTCTCAGACAAAAGTTTAGTGAGCCTATTCAAACCTAGATTTTCTGGTTTTAGGCTGAGCCTACAGACTATTTAGATCTGATTAGTTTGACACTCAGAAACAAACAGTATGTATAACTACTTATTTTGTATGACCAGAAAGTCTAGTTATTATTTACTTGCTTATTAACCAGCAGATGTTGAATAGCTTAGCCCTTTATCACAAAGCAATATATTTTAATCCTATCTGGGCCTTTAACAACCCAGTCCAGATGCAATGGAAAAGTATGAGCTTCCTGTTACAAGAACAAGCTTTCATGCTGTCTCATCATTATATTTCTAAAAATCTTTCTTGACCACAGATGACTAATAAACGGGCATATTGTGAATTTTATGTGGTCTTCTTTGCAAAGATGGACTCAGATTGCTTCCATCTTCAGCAGTGAACTCGGGCTAAATGTTCAGAGTTGTTGCGTGCAAGATTCCATGAGCTTGAATTAGAGAGGGTTATTTTAAAAAAAACCCAATGATTAGTTTTCCTATTTTACTAGCATTTTCATGCCACCTCTGTGGTGAAGGAATTAGGATTTTTCAGTCCATAGTTACTATGAGTTGGTGGTCACAGTGCTTAGTGAATTATGGAAGCAAATTTAAGGCTGCAGAACTAATTCATTTTAACTGTGCAGTTCTTTATTAGTATTTACTAGTAGTCCAAAGGCCAGCTATATGTATGTCCTTGATAAATATTTTCCTGTGGAACAAATCACTAGTAAGCCATATAGGATACTTCACATGATATGCTCCAGATGCTTAGAGGAACAAAGCAGGTTTGGCTGGAGTCTGCCTGCTACTCCCATTCTTCTCTCTTTGCTGTGTAAACAAGTGAAGTTGTAACTAATGAACAGCTGTGATGTGGAAATAGCAATATATTTTTCACTGCTTTTTTTTGTTGTTGTTTTTTTTAGGAAGGCAACAATGGAATGGAAATAATCACTGGTCAGATTTAACTTTGTAGATGTTTTTCTCTTGGCATGCACAAATGAGAATTTCTGCTTTGTAAGATTTATGTCTGTCAACTGATACTGAGAACAAGCTCTGCAGGTGCGCTCTTCATAGGAGAGTTTCACTTGCTCAGCCAGCCCAGCAGGCCATTCCGTTGCCTCTACCCTCCTTTTTCTATTTTTCTTTTCCAGCTGATATTCAACGGGTGGGTTGCTCTGGAAATTATTTTAAAATATTTTCTGTACTTCTGCAAACTTAATTGTTTCCCAAACATTGTTACCCATTCATTTCTCAGTGGCCTTGTATGGTATTTCTGTAGTTATTCACCTCACCAATTTCTGCTGGGGAGAATTATAGACTGATAGAGCTTTTCCCACCCATCTGATAAATATGAGATTGTTGTTTTCAATACTCCATTGTTTTTCTCTGCTGTTTAAATGGTACTAAATCAAGAGTGGTCTCCATGATTAACTTCTGTGTTGTTACTCTTCATAAAGGAAGCTGTTTCTTCCACTTAATTCAGAAGTTATTTTGGTTACAAGTGCATGTGGTAAGGGGGCCTATCAATAGATTTCTAAACGATTTGCATGGCAAAACAGATGTGTGTTATTAGTCACATGTACTAGCACTAATTCAGGGTGTGTGCTGTTTCCTCTAAAGAATTTGGAACTGAGATTAAGTTTAAGAGATCATTATATGTTTGAAAGCCACGGTAAGTAAGGTTCACTCTCCTGTTCATGGGTTTGGGGGGTGTGTGTGTGTGTGTGTTTGTTTATTTATTTATTAAATTTCTCCCCCCAGTCGGGGACTCTGGGCAACTCACACAAAACATTCAAACCATAAATACATAAAACATCAAAATTCCAAAAACATTACTAAAAAAGAGGAAAAGGAGAGTTCAAGAAGATGA